TTCGAGTTTCCCTTATTAAGGATGAATGCAAGGTGCTGGTGCTGAATTGAAGTTATGGAGGAAACTGGTCAAAGAAAAGCATCCATTATCGAAGGATTATGCGGACTCAATCGTCACCACAACGGTATAGAAACACATTGAAGTGAAAAACTTTTTATGTAGACAGTTAACTTCTAGTCGGTCCCGGTTCGATTAGAGGGCGGAGTTCAAGTGTTCCAAGAAGTTCGCAACACGTGCAAGTCCTACGTCAGCAATGTGGAACGATTCATGCTTGTTGCAATGCGTTCAAGAAAAAGGTCAGCACAGCATCGCGAATCGAAATAGCAGTAATCGCATCATAGTTCGGCGAAACCGTATCTGTGGATGATGCCATATTCTCGTGTGATATTGTCAAGGAGTTTTTTCGTAGACTCCAAAATGCAAGTGTACCAGTGGGCGTACGTTCCATGTTCGCCAAGGCCATCCTGTCGTTTTACAGTTCCTTCAAGAAAACATAGGCACAGGTATGTGTTGCTCGAGCAGAGAACGTTTTTTTCCCTATGAAAATACAAGAGTTTTAGCTGCTGGAAGGAGATCGGATTAACGCGATCAAGCAAGCAGTAGCACTTGCTGAGCGTGAAGTGAACAGATTGAAAAATGAGAACAAAATGTTGAGCACATTCAGTGGGATTTCTGCAGAAAGATGATTGCAGGTAACTTAAAAACATGATGAGACTCCGAATTATTTCAGCTTGTAGTTGACGTTTTCAGCAGCTTGAGCGATACTGTACAGGTGAGAGCAATTGTGAGGTCTGGGCGCATAGATGAAAGAGTGACACACATCGTGCAAACGTTCAATAAAAGTGGACGTATAATTCATTAAGATTACGACTACATGATGAGGTATGGTTGTTTGACGTGTGAAGGCAGTAAGCATGAAAGAGTATTGTTTAGTGCTATCATGGCGTATTTGGTGCACTGCAACGCTGCACGAAACGAGCTTTGTTACAAGACTCGTTATGGCAACATGTGTGGAAGCGGCGAAGGATGCAGCGGACTAGAACCGGTGGAACACCAACATTTCTTGAGATCGGAGCAATTTTGGGTCAGTGTCTTGAGAATGGTGTGTGTGATTTGTAAGATCATATTATAAATTCAGGTAGGAAAATACCCCCTACCAAAGCACCACTATAGGGTCCGAGAACCGACCAGCTGGAGCGGTGACTATTTTGTTGTGGACGAGAAGTGTAAAAAATGGCTTGATCACAATGTGAAGCTGCGTGAATAGTGGGTTGATAGTTTGCAATCGCTCATTTCTGATGTATGTGTGTTTGGACTGCATCACGGCCCAATGAGGTTTTGGTGGTTCAGTGGTAGAGTTGTGGCAACAGTTCTGACTTCTAATCTTTATCTACACAAATAATAATACGACAGAGATACAATAACTACGACTACAAAGAGAACATAATATAGTGGTACTGAGTCTTGCTGTACGTGAGCCGTTCGTGGCGTAGTGTGGCTTGTTCTCTACCTTAGTGTTGATCGATTAGCCGTTCGCCGCGGGTCCGCCGGCCTGTAGTGTATCCCCGACATGCGAGGTTAACTGTAAGTAGTATTGTGTCAGAGAGGAGAGAGAGCTTAAGAGAGAAGACCCGCCGCTCGCGGAAGACGAAGTGTAGAACTGAAGCCTAGCTCCCCTCTGGCACCGGTATTTATTGGCTCAGAAAGGGGCGGTACGGCCAAACCGGCCCCCAGGGCGGCCTGCATGAGCCGATTGATAGGGGAGACGCAGGCACCAACGGTGCTAGGGG